AGAAACATGGAGTTGCTTTTGTAAGCGTTGAGATGGTGCGTGTCTTGTACAAAACATCATACGAGTCCATATTGCAGCTCTTGGACAAACTATTTTAAGTACTCTGTTCCTCTGAGACTGCTTCGTTAGCTCTTGCAAGTGAGAGAGATGCCTGGGAAGAAGAGGGGAGAGGCCGACTCTCCCTCAGCTTGTCCTTGCCTGTTTCACGACAGTGCATAGCTTGCCCGATCTTGGTCTACTGCGAGGAAAATAGATCAAGAAGTCTAATAGCAGTCCTTAATGTAGTAACATAGCTAGCAGACGAGCTTGATAGTTAAATCTGAGTGTTTGTTAACCTTTTAGCTTTTTGAGGAGATTGTTGTCGAACGAGACTTAAGCAATTTTAACCCATGTTATATAAAGCTGCCAGAAATCTGTTAGTCCTGGAGTAGTGTATATGTTAGTGTCAATGATGTTTGTAGTTAGGGATGGGGAGTGGTGATGTAATTCCAGTCCTTCTTAAAGAATGATCATAAAACATTAAGAGTGAAACTTGATGTAAAATCTGTGTTTTGCTGTAGAAAAATATTAACAGTAATACAAAAGGTAATCCTCCTGCCATGCAGAAGAGATCTAGGATAGCCTTAGAAAGCAATATTGTCTTGCTTCAGGCAAGAGTTTTAGGTGGCTGACACTGAAGTTAGTGCTGATCTTAAAGGGGGAGTGATTTCAGTCTCCTGCTCTAAGTGAGAGCTGGCCACTGCCTAGCAACTAATGGTGTCCTGTTGGCTCGTCTCCACTCAGATAAGGAACAAAAATACTTTCATCCAAATCCAAATGGAAAAATATAGAGGTATTTGTGTGGGGCCCTGGCAGTGTATCTGGCACAGGACGAGCTGACAGGAGTGCCTATTACCGAAGTCTTTCAGAGCAAAGTGGGGGGAGCTGGAGGCTGCTCCTATTTCTTTTGGTGTGTTTTTAGTAGTTCCATTCAAACATGAAAAATTACAGTGTACTGATATTGGCATTAACAAAGAGAGAAAATTAAAAGGTGTTCTTATGTCACTCCCTTCTCTCTTTGGAAATGTATCTGCCTTTCTCTTAAGTCTTTTGGTCAACACTTAGCAGATGCTTGGTTTCTTTTAGTGTTTTAAGAAAGTGAGTCTTTGAAATGGGTTTGCCAAGATTGCATTTTACTCAGGAAAAAGTGTTAGTGTTTGGTTGATATTTAAACGCTCTTTGATCTTGAAATGCCCTGTTCTTCCCTTTAAATGATAGCAGCAGCTTTCAACAAGCAACAATCCTATTACTGTTTCCTATATCTTTATATTTTGGCGTTACTGTGTAGAATGTGGAGATTAGGGAGAATAAAATAATTATTTTCTGGTCCCCTAAATTCTCATTGTGTTTTTTCAGTAGGCTACAGCATTATTCAGACAATCAGCATAACTGGCCGTGTTGTTTGATACACACCATACTTGAGTACTGTCTTATTCTAATGTATGTAGCTGGAATCCGTGTAAGTTTACAATCTGTTATATAGCACGTACTGGTATTGCAAGCTCTGATGCTGATGTGGAACAATACTGGGATGTATCTGTCAGTGTGAGCTGAATAATTTTGCTGTAGTAAAGGTATTCTGACACAGAAGAAAGCCAGGTTACATTTATGAAATTTCTAACTTAAGCAACAGCGTTTAAATGGTAACACAGTAATAAGAGAGTATAGTACTTATGATGATATCCGCATCTAGCTTGCTTTTATAGAGTTTTATAAGTGCCTATAACTATGTGGCTGTCTGTGTATGTACTATAGGCTATGTGGAATTTATCAGGGTAAAGGCTGGAGCAGTTTCATGGAGTTTGTCCCACAGTGGAAGGTTTGACTGCAGGCTCTCAGGTGTTTTGCTCCGGCCATGGTTTGTCAGGCGACAAGGAAGTCCAACAAAGAGCTATGTTGTCATTTTGAGTCTAGCCACAGTCCTAGTAACTTTTCCTGTGCTGTAGCAAAATGAGTTCAGTATTTTTACTCAGTCCTTTCTCAAAAGTTTTCCTCCGTCTCTACTTGATACTCAGTTTTGTTTCTTTTAGTTTAGCAAGAGGCGGGCCAGAGACCCTTCCATTCCTGTGAATACCTGGGCACCAGTGGTTCTGCCCAGCAAGGTGCTGGTTTGTGTTACACCAGTGCTGTTTTGGTGTAGGGAATGAAAACAGAGTGTGACCTTAAATGTAAATTTAGCTAAAATAAACTAAGACTGATGGATGATATATAAACATTGGAGTATGAATCTTGTAGTTAACATCTGCTGACTAAGCAGGATAAATCTTTTTGTTTTGGCAATAGTCAGGACTCTGATCATTGCATCAGTCTGTACCAAATGACTGGAGTGTTCTTACCCCAGTCAGAAGGTTTGTTTCTTCCCAGTTACATCTTGCAACATGTAATTGGTTCTTATTTTACTCTAGTGACTTCTCATGTTTGTTAAAAGTGCCAAGTTCTTAAAACCTGTCAGAAAATCTTCCTATTTCATTGTCTTTTCTTCTAGGTGTTGGTTTAATAGCCAGGTATCTGTGGCTTTTCTTGACCCATCAGGTTACTCTTCTGTGTAAACCCAAACCCCCAACCTCTCCCCCTGCCAGTGCATTCCAAAATTTTCTGGAATAGTTTTTAAACATTTCAGAGATGATTTGTGGAAAGATGTTGCAAAAATTTAATGTGTCTTCATGGCTTTAATACAGGAACTCTGCAAATCTCATTTTGGTGTGTTAAAAGGTTACTGCTTCCAACCACCTACTCAGCCCTTTAGTCAGTAATTTCCAATTCCTTAGCAGATTCACTGAAGAGAAATGCATAATGTGGCTTTCTAATCCTGTGAGAAGCTCAGTGTTTTGACTCAGCCCCTTCACTACTTGAGTGAAGATGTTGGACTTGGAACTGAAAGAGTCGGAGTGTGGGCACAGGTTCTGTCTGCTGTCATTGTCACCAGAGAGGCGGCTTTTGGTGGTGAAGTGGGACATATAGTCATGCAGGAGGCTGTTTTGCACCACTCTAGAAAGGCTCATCAAAGCCCATAGCCCACTTGAGTATTTTAGTACCCTTTCAGTCTGTGAAGGAGAAAGGGGGTGGTGCATGTGTGGTGCTGCATGCTTTCTCTTAACATCTACCTTGCTCAACATTGAGTACTTCACCTCTGCAAGTGGGAGAAAAAATAATAAACAGTACCTTCCTCTAGCATGGGGCTACCTCACATGACAGGGCTTTATCTGGGGATTATCAGATTCAGGAAAACTAAATAAGTTTGGGAGAGTGTGTGTTGTTGGACCCTTTCTCCCATAAATAAACTTTTCAGCCTTGTGTTGTGACCTGGCTCACAAATGAGCATAACATTAGTTGTCTAAGGAACTTGTTATTTTCCATATTTACACCCATCACAGCTGGCAGAACTTGTTTCTTTTGCTGTCTGCTTTATGAGCAGACTTTTAGCCCACAAGACATTTGAGTTAAAATACCAATGTTTCCTTTTGTGTGGGAATTGCATTTTCCTTCAACCTTCTTACCCTTCTTTCTTCAACCCTCCGCAGCATCCTGCTGCATCATGTGTTGAAGAAAACATGTACGGGCTTTAGAAGCAGTAGCAAAAGGGATGTGAGTCCCTGGCAGCATGGCATCACACGGAACAGTGCTGTTATAAAATAGGTGAGGAAAGGACTAATGAGAAATGGGTGGAAAGAAAACAATGTGGAATTGCAAGGAACAGAAAGCTTTTTTTTCATTTTATGTTGTGTCTTGCTGTTTGTAGAGTATTTGTGACTTATCCTTTTAAGTGGTTGAACTGAACTTTCAGTGCAGCATTATATGTCAAAGTTGTACTTGACTATGATACATGATAAAACATGCGTTGGATGCAGGACTTATCATAAAGTTGTTTTTTGAAACAAAACAAGAACAAAAAAAAGCCCAAGTTTGTAGTCTTTTAGCTCCAGTTAATATTAAAAACCAAAATGCTTAGCTAGTCCATTAAACGAGTTGCTCTTAGCCCTTCAGAACTGCATGTGATAAGAGAAAGATTATAGATTAACTAAATATTTCAACTTGTCCTTAACCTTGGCTGACAACAAAAATGTGAGTAAAACCTTTACTACCTGGGTAGGAGTTGTACCAGGACATGCATCCTTTTTTTCCGTTGAGCATTTCCATCCTTCTGGAACTTTTGAACTCTAGAACTCCAACCTGCACATGTCAGCACAACAGAAAAGTGTGTGCATGTTGCTTACAGCTTTATAAATTTTAATAAGGGTTTATAATGGTTATATTGTGGCTGAATATAGAGTCTGATTACTTCCTGAGGGATGTAAGAGTGCAGCTCTCTGACCCCAAATAGTAAAACACTAATAGGTAAAGATTTGGTTTAAGGAAACATTTTAGCAATATTACAAAGCAGTTATTGTACAAATTAATTTTAATGCTGTCCATTTAACTTAATTAACTTCTCACATAGTTTAGCTTCATGGAATTTCTGGTTCCAGTGCAACAATTCTCTTAAATTTTTTTTTTTTTTTTTTTTTATGTAGAAATTTTTACTAGCAGAGCTAGCTATGTAAAGAATATAAAAAATTCTAAGGTGCATATTTGTGCTGAGAAACATACTAGTAAATTTAGGTTAGCAGATTAAGACAGTTGGCACAATGTACTCTGAGTGTTGGGCCTTAAACTTCTGTAGTTACAGATCTGTTAGTATGGCCTGTGCATTAAATTATGGTATAGTGAAGTGTAAGAATAGGTCTAATGCGGTACGATGAACGCACTTGTTTTCTACTATATAGCCTTGTATAAAGAAATATGTGCAACAAATTCCCAGATGAGATCAGAAGAGTGTTAGACAATACTGGATGTCTTGTAATGTCCTTAGGCAGACCTGTGTTAAGAGTTTCTTGTGGAAGTTCATTATTCTAGGGGTAGGGGGATCTTCTGGCCTTCTTAAAATGATTTCCTAACCTTCAGTACGTGTTTTTTCTTTGCAGACCTTTCAGCAGCACAGAGAAAATTTGCCCATTCTCTGAGAGACTTTAAATTTGAATTCATTGGTGATGCAGAGACAGATGATGAAAGATACATAGGTAGGTAAGAAGTGACTATAAGTGGCTGTATTTTGCATTGCCATCCTGCAACATGATTAAACTTTTTTTCTGGTTTTGTATTACAGATGCATCACTTCATGAGTTTTCAAACTTTTTAAAAAATCTGGAAGAACAAAGGGAAATTTTGGTGAGTTGCCATAAAATTTTTAAAAGGCCATACATACCGCAAAGAGTAAGATAAAAGTCAAAGTTGCTTACTGCTTTGTTAACCACCAGGATGTTGGTACCTGTAACTGAAAGGTGAAAGCTGCCGTTGTGCAGCCTCTGATTCTGCAGTCTAGAGTTACAGACAGCAGCTAGTTCTCATTAAAGAAGAAAGCTGTTGTGTAAGGAAGGGCAGATCACTATGAGTTGGTTTAAAATGGTAGTGCCCTGATAAATTGTGGCTGGGGTGAATGAGAAAACCATCATAAGGTTGTTTGCCATTTACAGTAAAAAGCAAGATGAAAGAATTAATACTGCAGCAGGACACCCAAAGGTTGAGAAGTTGGCTGGATTTGGATCCAGGACCGCTGTGGCTCCAGCATCAGTGCTTCTGTGGATTTGGGATGCAACCTGTTGGGTGGATGCTGTAGTGGACTTATAAACTTTTTCTTTGTAGGTGAGCTTTCTGGTGGAGGGTTGCATCTGCAAACGTTGAGTTGCTCTGTTGTGTAGGAGGGAGTGTTCTTCCTTCATGTGCCTGTGATTGCTTAGGGTTTTAGTGTAATACAGGCCACGTTGGCTTCACACAGACTATGGGCTGAGCATTCTACCATACACCTTGCAGTCTTGATTTCCTAAGTTGTCCAGAAGATGGGGGGGTTCCTTTCTGGATGGTACCATGGTGGTTCTCTGCAGTTTCATGCCCAGCTTTTGTTTCAGAGTGGGGATTCATAGAGCAGATGATGTGCATCCTATTTTCTTCTGAGTGTGGTCAGACCCTGCATCTAGGAAACGCTCTTAGATCTGCCTAGGTAGCAGTTTTGTTCCTCAGTATTTGCCATGTGATTATATGTCTTCATCTTCCTGGAAGTCAGTGACCACTTGGCATCGCTGAGAGGAAACGGCAACTAATCTGTGTTCAGTGCCTCTTTCTGCCAGAAGCAGTGTCTGCAGCGTAGGAGTGTGTAGATAAGTGGGAAAAGAACTTGTGAACCATTTTTATTTTAACATCTCTTTCTCTCTGGCAGTCCTGAGCCCAGTAATAGTCATGGTTCCTTGAGTGTGCCGTGTTATGTCCTGGCATGTTGTTTTGATCTGGAACCACATTTGGGTCAAATTTAGTGTCTTTGTGGTTCCTTGCACGTTCCTACATAGTAGAGACAATTTTCAGTATCCTGAGTTGTTTTGCCAAATTGTAGGGTTTTCCTCAAGTAAGTTGGAATGCTTCTTTTTGTTTTTCGTGATTCTGAAGTATAGTCTTTACTTTACTTTTTCATGCCATCCATAGCTGTGTTTTATTTTAAGTTGCATACATCTGTTTAGTGAAAGTTTTTGGGAAGTTTTACAATGAAAAATACTTTACAACCTATGACGTTATTTTCCACTCTATTTTGGTATCAGGTTTTTGAGAGATGTCAGCTTCAGGGCTTCAGAATTACGTGACATGTTTCAGTGACTGTACCAATAGATCTTCGGCAGCAGTAGATTACCAACACAGTAGGCTGTGCAGAATCCAGAGCTGTCTGTCTGCAGTAAAACACTTCTGTTTTTTCAGACTGAATGTCACAAACCAGTGTTACTTATTTTTTGGTATGATGCCCGTGCTTACACAGAACGCATTAGCACACTAAAAGCTAATTAATATCACTTTCTTGATAAGAGAAGGATGAAATGCAGTATTTGTGAGAACAGTGACAGTTTGATGAAAAACTGGGGAGTATAAAATATTGTGGGGCAAATATTTAATTCCAAATAGAAACAGAATATATTATCTGAGTTACAAGATTTGTGGCCTTTTCATGGCATCTGTAGTCTAGCAAATATTATGTATCATTTCTAGAGTGAGTTAATATAACAGTGGCCATACTCTCCTGAGAAAATGGTTGTGTGGTGAGTGGTAAAGATAATTTTTGGTCACTGCTCTGCTCTGATTTTTTTTTTTTTTTTTTTTTTTTGCTTCTCAATGGCTGTTTTAGCAGTGACATGAGTTCTAAGGATGCTCCCATGGAGAACATTAGGGCATGTTGCACTCACAGATGTTTGGAATCAGATCAGGGATCCATAGACTTTTCACTAAGATGCAAAGCATATAGCAGGAGTTTTTTCAAAAGTGTTCAGTCTTCTTTAAGCATGTTCTTTATTGAGCATTTTTCTCCCATACCACTTTAAAGATGACCAGAAGATTTCTGACTGCTTTGTTTCAGTGTAGAATTGCAGACAGATTTCAGTCACATAAAGTAAAATTCAAGAAATTAATAATTATAGAATTGAGGACATTTCAGATATTGCTGTGCATTTTAATTTTTAGATATTTGAGGAGAGTTCTTTTTTTCACAACCATATTGTAAATGACACAAATTTGCATTTCAGATACATTCTAAGCTGAAATTAATTACTCATCACCTACACTTTTCACGGTTTTCTGAAATTACTGCTTGTGGTAAATCCAGAGTCCATAAAAATTTCTATTAGTGTTTACCATAAATTTACTTGTTCGGTTATAATTTTCCGGTGGATATTTATTTGGTGGATATTTAATAATTTCGGTCAAACGTTGGAGTCTTGTACTTTGTGCTTTTACTATTTCTCCCATCTCCTTCAAAGGCTGCAGAAATTATATCCCAGCTGTCAAAGGATTTAGTTGATTCTGAAAAGGGGAGTTGGCATTAATCCAAACATTTAACCAAAACTAATACGGAGTGGCTGATACAAATACAAATCACGTTTTTCCGTAGCACCATAGCGTGGTGACATTCCCCAGGTCAGATAAAAAATAGGTTGCTTTGTCCCTGTGAATGTTCTGGAACTTATTTTTGTGTTAAGGTCAAGTGGAGTCATAAGACGTTCTGCTCTTTGACATTACAAAAGTGTTGTGGAAGGGATGAAAGGGAACTTCATAAGGCGAGCAGGAAAAGGTTGGAGATGAACAAGCACCAAGGTGGCGATGCTAAGGTGCTCGGTCCTGCCGCCCAGCCATCCCTCTGCTTGTCAGGGAGAGCACCAAACCTCCCTCCCAGCCCCAGTTCTCCTGACAGCAGAAGCAGGTTTGGTTCTTGTGCTGGGCTCAGAACATCAGGCTTTGCTGGCTGCCCTCCTTTAGGCTGCAGTGCTGAGCAGCGCAGGGCTTCCTGATAGGTACTGATCCCCTGTGGTTGTTACCCCTTTCCTCCTTCACCTGCCTTCTTACCACCTTCATACCTCCCTTCCTCCATCCCAGTCTTCTCCCAAATGAGCAGCCTGCCCCTAATTAGTCTTTCCCGTTGATTCCAGTCTTGCTAATTCAAAACCAAATTTGATAGCGCTTGTACTCCTCCCTCAGTAATCTCAGTGGTGCGGTCACCCCGATGTGCTAGCCGTGCTTACTTCCCCTCCCAGGACGTCCCCAGTCCTGCCCTTTTGCAGCTTCTGCAGTTCTCACATAACTCTCCCTTAACCGCTCAGGAAGCCCGGTCAGCCCTCCGGGCACTGTCTGTAACTTTTCTCAGGTCTCTCTGTTGCCGGCTGTGTCCAGCAACCCCTCGGGCCCTGCCTAGCCGTGTCTCATGCCCTCTTTGGTGAGCTTACTCCCCTGCCAGGACCCAGGGAGTTGGTTGCATTTGCCTACAGCCCTGCCAGAGGTGGGACTGGGTGTCAGGGTCATACCTGGATGATCCTTGATAAGCGCTGATCTAACCTATTCTTGAAAAAGTTCCAGGGAGAGGGATTTTCTCTAGTTTTACTCCAATGTTTATTCTGTTTTTTCACCTGAAATCCATCCTAAGTCTCCTTTACTGCAATTTAAGCTGGGAACTTTTTTTACAGTAGTCATGGAGTGAAACTGACCACTTCTCCTTCAGAGGAGTATTTTCACTGTTACCCTTTCAAAGTGGTGTTTTACATCTAAATTTTTCCTTAATCAATTTAATTACACTGAATTTAGACCATCTCCCTTTTTGTCAAAATTATTTTTAATCCTGCTTTCTGAAAGCAGTGACATTTTCTTTTGGTTTTATGTTACTCCACATTTATATTAGTGTGGTGGAGTTATTGGTAAGTCACTCATAAATTGCTACTAAAAATTGGAGCAGGCAGGAGACTTGGCTGTTGTTTCCTATATGGTGCTTGAAATGTTCTCTTAGCTGAACAGGTCTTTTTCTGGGTAGTTTTGCAACCAGGATGTTGTTTTCTCATTCTTCCTGTGGTTTCTTTGTCGAGACCAGACTGGCACCTTTACTTTTGAGAATGTATGTGCATTAGCATCTGAGACTTCATTGAGGAGATCAGCTACTGTGCTGATCTCAAAAAGGAAACTAGATACTGTTCTTAACAAATCCAAAGTAGCTTTTAAATTTCTATAGTGTGTTCCAGGACCTCAGAGTATGAGTTGCTACATCTGGTCTGTAACTTTCTCAGTTCCTGCTTTCTCCTCCACTTCTTGCTTTGAAGTTGCTGTTGTGTTGGCTCTTCAGCCATCCCCTGGGACCTTGCTGCCTCACCCTCTTAGCTCACTTTGCTGAGTTCCTAAACTACTCTAAAGCAAAGCCCCTTCTGACTCAACAATTGATTCTTCGATTGCATAATGTAGGAATACATCTAATTGTTCTTAGGAAATCCTTACTCTCTTTATACTCTCTTTAACATCAGTTTTTTTTCCCCACTTTGTTAGATGATTTGCTATAATTGAGATTTTTTTTTTACCTCTGAATATTATTAAAATCTGTTGTTGTCTTACAGTCAATTGTTGATTTGTTTTACCTCTCCAGTTAAATAATGGTTTTATAGCTAGCTTCCTCTCTGTTTTCTGAAATATATATGAGAAACCCCTTTTCTTTAGGGTTTACTTTGACTCTTGCCAAATAAAATGTGTTTTTTGCCTTAGTCTTTCTAACTGTATCCCTAAGTACCTGTGTGTTTCCTTTTTACTCCATCGCATTTCTCTTCCTATATGATTTCTGATACAATTATAATCACATTACTATGATTCCTGTCATTTCCCAAGGCGAT